CAGGTCGCTACCGCACTTATGAGTGAAAGAGAGGAAAAGGAGAGGTGTAGAGCACCTATAGAGATAACCGTTCACTTGAAGAGAAATGTGGATTCAGAAAGTTTAGACAAGATGTTTGGTTTTATAAAATATAAATAATTTATTTTGTCATTGTTTCTGCCAAAAAAAAGCCAATTTTGGAAGATTTGTTTAACCTTTACTGATCGTCTCTCAAAAATAACCATAAATAATGAGAGAAATTAATATCTGCAGTGCACCCCATAGAAGATGAGTCATATTTGCATTCAAGAATAAACGTTTTAAAACCTTTTTATCACTTTATTGTCTTATATTCAAAGCGGTGATACAAACCCAAGTGTTTGGCCGGCAAAATGTAGGCATTGGAAAGAAAAATAAGTACGTTTCAATGTGATTATTAACTGAAATAAAACAAATTGAATTAAAATGGTTTGAGTACCTTTAAAAGATCTATGACTTTTGACCAATAGGTGGTGTTGTTTTCAAGTGATGTTTTGGGGTCAGCTGTAGGTAGTTTGGTGGTAGCGTGTCAAACGGTTGCTAAGATTCAGATTCAAGACATTGCTTCAGATTCAATTTGCCACTGAAGTGGCGCCGTTGTGGCACGACAACGAAAACCAAAATTCAACACGAAAACTTTTGCCAGGAACGTCTGAAGAGAGTAAAAAATAGACTTTATTCAATATGGTGGACAGGAAGTTCAGTCAACCATGGTAAAATTGGTTTTATGTTCTCGGCGAGGCCTTGGAAAACAAATAGAGACAAGTTTTGACAATATATTTGTATCTTTGACAAATTAAAAGGAATGTCTTAAAATTGGTTCAGTCCCTTTTGGGGATTGGATATAATTATGCACAAAAGTTTTCAGAATTTTGTGTAGTTGCGTTCCCAAATGTCTACGGTTTTTATGAGCTTCAGGAAAAGCCAAAATCAGACCATTTTTGAAAAACACACCACCTGGATGAACTTGATAAAACGCATTATCATTTTAAAACATGAATTAAATTAAAACCTTATCGAAAATCTGAGTTGTTTTGAGACCAACTGCAATGTGATACGAGTGCGGTCGCCATACAGCCACGCTTTACCACGCTTTACCTGCACTCAACTCGACCGTACACGCCCCCAAAATACTTGTAAAATTAATATTCAGTTCCGTGAAAAGGGCAAAATTGTAGCACCTTAAACAATATAAAAGTTGCATATATACCCCAAGTGTCTGTTTATTTTTCAAGTGCTTTTTGTAGCCAAGAAAACCAAGCTAGCTCGGTGCAGGAAGTGCTAGCGAGCTGCTTGTTATTACGGTCGAACCGCTGCAATCACACCGTCTGATTCTGCACTATTTCCACTGCTTTGAAATCTCAGTTTTTGATTCGGATCTCTTTAACTGCGTTCATCCTATGAAGCAAAGCCTGGGAGGGATGGGACAACACACTTGTGACGGGCTAATGAGAGAATTTTCTCATTCAACTATCTCCTAATTTCGCCCTGAATGTGCTCTGTGGGGAGTTTTACTCACTCTCCATTGAGTCCTGTGGTATTCCAGCTTGATTAAACTCCCTCCGTCGAGGAGGACGGATGAAAAAAAAAAAGCCTGACGGATGCTGAGAGAGAGCGAGAGGTGTTTGAAAGAAGCTCCGGGGGGGATGAAAGAGCCTCGGAATCTCCCTGAATGGACCCGTCGCTCTTTCACATGCTTCATTCTGACTGCTGGAACTCTTCATCCAGCACAATGGCTCCTGCACTAAATCTGTTTTCTCATGCTAATGGATGTGAACTCACTCCCTCCTGATGCTCCTTGCTTTTTTTCCTTCACGATTCAAACGGGCCAATTAGAGTCTCAGGATCTCCTTGTCCTCTGTTCCTCGACTTTTCCCTCTCGTCACGGAGCAGACGGATCACAGAAAGTGACTGAGAGTGTTTGGGGAAGAAAGGCAAACATTTTAAGAGGGAAAGGGGAGCGACTGAAGAGCAAACGTCAGCTTTTCAAGGCTTCCGGTGTGTAAATGTTTTTAAAAATACAAATCGTTTTAATCAAAGCAACGGTTTACGTTGGACTGGTGTTGGGGGGGGGCTGCAGGCTCTCTCTGCCCCTCACAGAGCTGTCACTCTCAGCGATTACAGCAGGAAACACTTGATGAAGCTTCAGAGCTACACAACACATCGGTGATAGTTTGAGTCACTAAATGGATTTTTTGTTGCAAAAATGAAAAAGTTGAATTTGTGATTAATGTAGATGTTAAAAAAGCTTAAAATCCTTTAAGTTCCTTTTCTCTCAGTAATTGTTGAACGCGCCACAAAAGGGACTTAGTTTTTGTTCCTATAAAACGCATATAATTTCAGCTAAAACGAACAAACATAAAGGATTACAAAGAAAAAAAAAGTTTCACATCTCGGAGTTTTGATTACGCTTGTTTCTATTGAATACAGTGTTACTTATTACAAACGTCATCGTTCCAGCTTCAAGTAAATGAGTTGTTTTGCTAGAGGAGCTGATAAATATGCAATCATTCACAAATCTTTAAAATCACTGGTAAAAAAACCTTGGAAATTCTTGTACGTCCGGTTCATTGAGCTGCCAATCATAACTGTACTAGCCAATAAGGGCAAACACTGATATCCCCGCCCCCACGGGAGATTTGTGCCAGAATGACCAGCATCATAAACGCAAAGTTGCCAAAAGTGAACTGAAGCTGAAAATGAAACCGACAAACACTGGGGTGTATGATGTATGATTGTTTTTTTTTTTTTGGTAATTACTGGATTATTTTTGTTTTCAGGCTGATTTTTGTTTGGTTCATTTGAGCTGAAGTTACGTTTGTTTACTGGCACAAAATTAATTCCATAAATAATTTGATACAATGGAGGGGTTGCCAAATATCCTGATATTTTTCCATCAAAGGTTGAATGAAATGTAAAAGTGTCCCTTCACACCACCTGCAGGTGATTCTCAGGTACTGTAAAGCACACTGCAGCAAAGCGGGGAAGAATTCTGCATGTAACAGAAAATACTTTAAAAGCTTAATTAGAGAAAGACTGGTTTGATGCAAAGTGCATTTAAATGTTTTAACAGTGCAGGGATTGCGAGTGTCTCCTCCTGAAGTACTGCTCCTCAGGATTGTCTTAAGACCGCAGGGGACTCTCTCTTGTTTGTCTTGCTAAGCCCCTGCACACAATGCTCTTTCTCACTGGAGTATATAAGGTCAGTGCTCTGTCAATAGGTCAGAGATCCCAGGGAAGTTGCTCCACTCTGAAGTCGCTCATTGTGTTGAGTGAATGGAGCCGCTGACCCCTGCAAGGCCATGTTGTTTTATTCTGAGCGCGGGATGCACAATAGATACTGCTGGAGTTTTATTAGCTGCTCATTGTGTGAAGAGAGCCTGATTGTCAAGTAAACGTTATTTGCTGATGATATATTTCCTCAAAAGGTTTGAATCACTGCATTGGTTTGTAAATGCCTCGTTGACCTGTCAGTGTGCTGTTGATCATGTGTTAAATAGATGGAGTGAAGGCTGCATCTTTAACTAATCAGGTTGTGTTTTCGTAAGAGCATTAATATGTTACTTTCATTGAAGCTTTTTGGAGTAAACTCAAAAATCTTAAAAATCTGGTGGACCCCGCCCCCGTCATCTGCTCAGTTTTTTCTCTCAGCTTTCTTAATGCATTTTTCTTTCCTCTGTGCTTTATGTCTCTCCTGTGTCTGCTTCTTCTGCATAGTTCTTGATGCCTTGTTCTCTCTTTTACTCTTGATTCACTCCCATTTTCCCTGGTTTCTCTTCATTTTACTCGTATGTTGATCACTGATTTTTATTTGTTCTTTTTTCTTTTTTGTTGTCTCTGGTTGCCTTTTAAGCCCCTCTGGTGCCTCTTCCAGTTATCTGGTTTCTGTTTTGACTTTGTTTTTATTACCTGGACCCTCAATTAACTATCCCTGGTGTCTATTTGAATTCTCTGGTTTTTCTTTTACCTCTCCTTGGCGTCTATTTGAATTCTCTGGTTTCTCTTTTACCTCTCCCTGGCGTCTATTTGAATTCTCTGGTTTCTCTTTTAACTCTCCCTGGCATCTATTTGAATTCTCTGGTTTCTCTTTTACCTCTCCCTGGCGTCTATTTGAATTCTCTGGCTTCTCTTTTACCTCTCCCTGGCGTCTATTTGAATTCTCTGGTTTCTCTTTTAACTCTCCCTGGCATCTATTTGAATTCTCTGGTTTCTCTTTTACCTCTCCCTGGCGTCTATTTGAATTCTCTGGTTTTTCTTTTACCTCTCCCTGGCGTCTATTTGAATTCTCTGGTTTTTCTTTTACCTCTCCCTGGCGTCTTTGAATTCTCTGGTTTATCTTTTACCTCTCCCTGGCATCTATTTGAATTCTCTGGTTTATCTTTTACCTCTCCTTGGCGTCTATTTGAATTCTCTGGTTTCTCTTTTACCTCTCCCTGGCGTCTATTTGAATTCTCGGGTTTCTCTTTTACCTCTCCCTGGCGTCTATTTGAATTCTCGGGTTTCTCTTTTACCTCTCCCTGGCGTCTATTTGAATTCTCGGGTTTCTCTTTTACCTCTCCCTGGCATCTTTGAATTCTCTGGTTTCTCTTTTACCTCTCCCTGGCATTGATTAGAATTATTATTATTATTATTTTTAATTTCCCCTGTTAATTTTCTGGTTTCTCTTCAAACTCACTTGTCTGGTGTTTTTAAAACTTTGGTGTCTCTTTTTATATGCTCTGGTGTCGATTTTAAATGATCTGGTTTCTCTTTGAATGAGCTCTTTTTATTCTATGAATTCCTTAGTTCCTCGATGACATCTCTGAATTGGTCTTTCTTTTGACTCTTTCAAATTCCCTGGTTTCTCTTTTGTCTCTTTTTTTTCTTTAAAGTCACACGTTTCCCTTAAGTTCTCTCCGTTTTGAACATTTCCGTTTATGCATGTTGCAGACACTTTTATGCAAAGTGACTTTGAAGTAATGAACACATTTGATCAGCTCTGGCTTTCCCTGGGGTTCGAACCCATGAGCTTTGCGGTACTAGCATAGAGCTCTACTGACCGAGCCACAGGAAAGTATGTTCACTTTACTTCCTCTATGCTTTGAAACACACAGACACACATCACACAAGACGAGTGTTATCAGCATCCTGTAACAGAGCTTTGGCCTCAGAGCTGAGGAAGAAAAGATTAGAGCTGATGTAGAGCCGCAATTCAGCGAACCTCTCGGGACAAAGATCAGCTTGATGTTCATTCGGACAGAGCTTCATCATCACACAGAGACAATCAGGCATCAGCAGAGGCTAATTACTCCAGATGAAGCCTGAGAACCATAGAGGGTGTTAGATCAGAGCGGGACGGGATCCTTCGCGCCTCTCTCTGCTTTGATTCAGGGTTTAATGAACTCCTGAAGGGCTTCACACTCCGGATGGTGATTCTACAAACACCTAAAGCGCTCTGACAGGAGAAGGTTGAAGATCTTCATGACTTCACTCCCAACGATGGGTGGAATATGAACTAATGGAACAAAGGATTCCACCGCTGATTATTTGCTAAATAGTTCTTCTGTTCTTCCGTCATTTTTATCCACAAGCCTTAATAGAATTACAAATGTCATAATTCAGAACTAGAAAAACATCTATTGAGATTAATCCAACTAAACCAGAAGCTAAAAAAAAAGCTTTTCAGATGGTTAAAGCGTCACAACACCCGGATGACACAGTGGGTGGATTCACGCATTGGTTGTGAAAAAGGGGGTGGTCAATCCTGGATTACCAAGATACCTTGGGGGTTACTTTGGGTTAAAATAGGCATGGACTAATCACTAATTTTCTGTCGTAGAGCGGTGTAGAAATGAATATGTTGATTACGGACTCTGGTGATCATTGTTAACAGTGGGAGCAGAATCAAACAACTGCTATTGCGGTCCAGAAAAAGACATTTAATATCTTTTTACTACTGTCGATGAAATGATTGCGGCCAACAAACTTATCAAGCTCGATTGTATTTACCCGATCGATTTGCTGCCCCCGGACCAAGCGGGAATTAAATCAGTGCTTTCGTATTTCAGGATTTGTCATCCTCCAAAATGTGCACGGCATCCTTCAACCTTTCGAACAAAATTCTCTCCTCAAAAAGTCTTCCTGCCTGATTGAATCTAACAATGCTTTCATGGATATTCAAGTAGTTTTAACATATTCAGGAAACCACTCAGTGATTGGATGGTTTCTTGTGCATATTAACAGACCGTGGGACGTGTCTGTGACTTTGTTTTCAAAACAGGAAGTGCCAAAATGACCAAAAACAACATTTAGTGTTAACAACATTTTATGACAATACTCTTTATGACAATACAGCTCTCTGGCCACGGAACGGTTTACCCTAGCAACCACATCTCAGCTTTGGGAAATCATAGAAACATGGCCGTGGATTTATATCAAATGGGTGGCATTTGCTTGTTGTAGCTTTTCAAAATGTCTTTTTTACTGGTTTTCAAAACAGATTTCAGTAGTAAACATTCTTCAGGATTTCAAGTGGTGTATTGGTTCCGCTTCAGTAACTTATTTAAATGTTTTATTAAAATTACAATCAAAAGATGGCTGCCGTTTTAGTCTTGCTACCAACTCTCTTGTTATTCTTTTACTAGTAACACGGCTTAGTTTTTACCAAAGAATTAGCAACACATGCTAAACAGCTAAACGGTAGAACCAGGAAATACTGCAAATTCAGTTATTTACCGAGTTTGTGCATTTTTACACTAAACTAATTAAATCTCTGAAATAATGTGAGTAACAAGATGGTATTTTTTAAATGACGCTCATCAAAGTCATCAATTATGTAAATTGAGAAAATTTGCTCTTTTCATGCCCCTCTAAAGATTCAAGTGATGCAACTTCCTGCTGAAAAATCTAATTTATGATAAATTCCCCATTTTTCTGGAAAAAGTTGGGGACATGACACAATTCATTTTTTTAATCTACAAATTATTGATACTACGATGGACTGGCGACCTGTTCACGTTGTAGCCCCGCCCCCGCCTCTCGCCAATGTGCACTGGCAGACCCCCATAACCCCAAAAACGGAATTAAATGATGTTAAAAAATGAATAAATGAATGAAATGATGGATAATTGTGTAAATAATTGTAACAAACATTATATATAGGTTTACATATCAATGCAAAAGAAAAAAGTAAAAGATCTTAATCATTATATTAATGGTGAGGTGTAGCATCAGAGACTGGGGCCAATAAAGCAATAAATGCTGATTTTCGGGGGTTTATGTGGATTTTAGCATTATTTTAAACTTACATTTGCCCTAAGAATAGCATGTAGTACAATAGTATGTAGTTTTCTGTCAAAATCCAGATAGAAAGAACAGATGTGTTGGTGTGTGAGAGAGAGAGAGAGGCTCACACTCTTTTACTCACACTGTTAAAGAAGTCTTTCGTTGACCTCCTGTACGTACGCTCGCTCTCAAAGACACCGTCTCTCTCTCTCGATCACGCAGCTGAAGTTCGGCTGTTTTGGTGTGTGTTTGTGTGTGACCTTTCCGATTGAGTCGCTCTCATTAGTTAGTGCAGCAGCTCGGGTTGTAATTATTCAGAGAGTAGCAGGAGCTTACAGTGACTAATACACACACAGACACACACGTCGCACCTGCACCGGCAACATGTAGAACTCTCCCCCGCTCTCCCTCTCTCTCTCGTTGATTTTTAAAATGAGTTTAAAGAAGTTATGTTAAACTGCAGCTTTATCAGTTCGGCTCATTGCCCTGCTGCTGTGATTATTACTTAGTTAGGAACCTAGAAATGTTACTCGTCTTTTGCTTCTAACAGTAAAATCTTTTCAGACTGGTATTCAAACCCCAGGCTCTAGTCCGGGTTAAAGATTCACCATTGACTTATAATGGCCAAATGGGAAAAGGCAATGGAGATATATTCAAGATTAAACAGCATACTTTCTTTCTCTCTCTCTCTCTCTTCCTCAACCGTGCTCATATCACACACTCTCTGATCACTGTATCCACTAATAAAATCAGAGGGAAACCACAGCCAAGTGACACAGCACCTAAACACAAGGATCACTAGAAGATCTCTGTTCCAGAAGCAGCTACAAAACAACTGTTTACCTACACTCAGAACCTATTCTGAAAAGGAGCAAGCCAGTGTTTGGAAGAGCACATCTGTTTTCAAAAAAAAAAAAGATTAGAACAATTGGAACAATTGGCTCAAAACCTTGCAAGAAATATTGTGTAATTCTATTAAAAGCGTTTATGAATGCTTATGTATTGTTGTTATTTTAAATATTTGTATTATTTCTCTTTATTATTCTATTTTTAAAATGGGAAACTCCATTAACCAATAGTGTTTGAAGACGCTGTTTTGTGGAGTTTTCTGAGTTTTAACATATTCAGAAAAAGTGAGTGTCGTTGGTTTGAGACACACACAGACACACACAATGGTGCACAACGCTGTTACTCTCTCTCTCTCTCTCTTACTCAACCATGCTAATGTCACACACTGTATCCACTAACAAAAGCATTTTATTAATGGTCTGGCTGAAAGTCTGACCTCTGAAGAGAAACCATCCCTTAGAGAAAGTAGAGAGACCACACAGTAATTCCAAAATTAACAAAGATCCACAAAAAAGTTTCAAAACCTGCTTATTTTTTTAATAATAAAGCAAACAAAAGCATTTTAAATAGTTTTTTTGCCCCTTTCAAATTGTAAGAGCATTGGATAAGGAATTCTTGCAAATTCACACCACTGTTCAACTAGAGAGAGGCCCGAATGTAGCCGAGTGAAAAGCCCTCTCACCTCGGAAACCATGGTGAAGGATTTAAAAGCCAGAAACATGTTTTTATTAATTTATTACTTTTCCCATTTTCGCAGAATCTGGTTAATGACCACTTTAACGGGTTAATCTTTTGAAACTGCTCAAGTAATCTATATTTTCACGATAAGATGGGTCTGTGTTCTGAAGACGAACCAGAGACTCTGATTGTGTTCTGGTGACAGAAGTAACAGTTTCTACAAGGGAGGGAAAGAGAGAGAGAGAGAGAGAGGGATTGTCGGGCTCTAATACCAAACAGCTGTGTGTCGGGGGGATTTACGAGGTGCTTTCACACAGGAAATGACCTGAGACACATGTTCCCTCACTGGGGGCTTGAGAACAGCTGCCCACCTGTGAACGGAACACACGAGTGAGTGAGAGTGTCGTCTGACATCGCAGACACTCCAATGACACACACTTTTTCAGATGGGTGAGTGATGTGGATAAATTTACTTCAGGGTGCATTTCAAAATGTTGGTTAGACTCGATACGAATACAAATAAGGAATCACAGTAACTACAAGAATTAATGGAAATGATTCAATAGACAAATGTCCCGTGCTTCATCTTGAGATTTTGGTTCATCTGCTGAACAATATACTAATATTCAGGTGGACTATGAACTGGGAAACCAGAAAGAGCTTCATCTTTTGACATTTTGAGTGTTGAAATATTTTAGTTTTTTAGAGCGTCTCATTTCTTATACCTCCCGATGAGGAAAGTCATCTCCAGATTGCAAGAAAAGTACACAAATGGAAAAAGGTTTTAAAAATGGTCATAAGAAAATCAGGAGATGCTCAGTGCGAACAAAGTGTAATTTTAGTGGATTTGGGCCGTCTTCATGAATAATGTTTTTTTGTGCAGGCTGTTTTTAGCACAATTTGCAAAATATTCAGTAGGACAGCTCACAGAGACATGATTTGTAAGTGTACCTTCTCTGGTTTCATATGCAAAAGGATTTATTGCTGTATCGTATATGGTTGCTGTTTTACCAGTGGGTTTATGTATCAAAAAGAAAAAAGTACTCATTTTATAGAGAATCCCCAGAAATTATTACTGCTCACACTAACAAACCTCAGACATGTCTGTATTTACATAAAAAAGGTGTCACTTTACCTAACGAAATGTTTTAAGCGGTCACAACTATAAATCTCAGCTTAAGAAAGTAATAGACATGAGGGTTGGTTTATTTTGCTCATATTGACATGGGGATCATTATATTAGGTCACTGACTCCTCCATAGC